TGCAGTAACATTCTACACGGAAAAAAATAATCGGTAGAGGCTACCGATTGGCAATCAGTAGCAGCTACCGATTGCCAATCGGTAGACTCTACCGAAAATAATCGGTAGCTGCTACCGAAAAAATCGGTAGTCTCTACCGAAAAAAAATCGGTTCCCTCAACCGATTTTTATCGGTAGCAGCTACCGATTATTTTCGGTAGAGTCTACCGATTTTTTCGGTGCAGGCTACCGAAAAAATCGATTAACAATTTTTGAAAATTTTTGTATTTTTTTAGCGAGAAGTTAAATACTCGCTTTTTATTAAATAGAAATAGTATTTTTTTTGAGGTATAAATAAATTTGAAATACAAAAATATTAAAAATGAGGAGTAATTTTTATTAAATTTTTTACAATTCTAAAAAATTATATTTACTTTTAATAAATAAACTTTCTTTTAAATAGATGATAAACAAAACCCATTTCTTTGAATAGCATTTTTTAATATTTACAATAAATACCATCTCAAAATGTTTGTCTGAAAAGAGTAATTTTTATTAACTTGAATAATGTTTAATATTATTTTTAAATGTTAATATTTTTAAGTATTAATATTTTTTTTTCTAACAGCGCATCGATGTGGATTTTCTCGGTTACGGTTACCGAAAAAATCGGTAGACTCTACCGAAAAAATCGGTAGACTCTACCGAAAAATAATCGGTAGCTACTACTGTAAAGATTTCTCCTTACACCAGGTTCGTTAAAACAAGTTTTATAAAAAATTAATTAATGAACGATTTTGTGACTATGGCTCGTGATCGTCTTACCAAAATTTGGACATCTACGTTGTGTTTACTTACGTGTTTTATTGAATACATTGCTTTAAGAATCATACTTGGGAGACTTAGGTATACAAAAAATAAAATACAGTGTTTAGTTTACCCCAATTTAATTTACTTTACAAACAGAAAAAAACACAAGGGGTGGCTCTTAGATACGACCAGGGAAAAAGAGCTTGAGAAAAAACCCTGTTCGGCTATGAAGTAGCAAAGGATTACACGATTAGGCAGAGTTTCTTTAAAAGTTTATGCAAATCAAATGGAATGACACGACGCTCGTTACACTATCTACCCCTACGGGTTCAAAAAATAGGAAAAACTTTGTTAGTTTAACAGGGCAGTTAACTGTTAGTCTGTCAACGTTAACGTTGCCCTGTGGAGAACGAGGTCCGCACTGGAAACAACTCGCGTAAAGATGCAGTTTCGGGATAAAAGTTGCGATGCCACCTAGAGAACCTAGGTGACTACGTACTAAGAAAAAGGAGCATTCAAAGTTTAAAATTAACGGTCAATACTCCCTTTTAAGCAACGAAACGTCCTGTATTACACTGATATTTGTTTTAAAATTACCGCAAAAATGCATAATCGTGTTGCGGGAAGGTCTTAACATTTGAGTAGTATACAACTAAATTAAGCCTAAGACAATAAAAGAAAGGAATATAAATTTTTACATTTAGCAGTAAACTTAAAAGGTAAAAACATTCTATAAAAATAGCTAAAACAAAAGGTGTTAATAACGGGTAAAATTCACTAAACGTAGTAGTGCAAAATAACTAATGCTCCGTTTATTTAAATCAAAATCGTTCTACGTTTAGTGTACTTTACTACATATTTGGGCTACTAAAATGATGAAATAACCTGGAGAATACACAAACACTCGTAACAATTGTTTACACAGAATTTTACAATAATTATGGTTTTAGCAAAGATTCACGAAAACGATGCGTTCTCTAAGACTTCGGAAAACTTTCTGCCCCTTTCTTTGCTCCCCTCTACCAGTTTCGATCTTGTTTTCGCCTCATCTGGCCAACAGCGTTTTTCCCATCTCAGGCAAAATTCCGGTATTCCACGAAACTTTGTAATTTCTCTACCTAACCGTTCGTTTTTTACCTCTGTTGCAACGATTTTTACATTTTACAACACAATTTAGAAATTCCAAACTTATTTAAAAATAAACTGGTAAAACGTATTAAAATACTGAACCATTACACTACCAATAAAAATCGGTTGAGGGAACCGATTTTTTCGGTAGAGTCTACCGATTTTTTCGGTAGAGTCTACCGATTTTTTCGGTAGAGTCTACCGATTGCCAATCGGTAGCCTCTACCGATTATTTTTTTCCGTGTACCATTCTAACAAATAAATATCAATATGAATATCAATAGATTTAGGAGCAATAACTTTGGTTGTTAATTTAAAAACAGTAAACGATTATAAACCAAGTGCTAACTACCTATTGGTATTATTGGAACTGTTATTCAGAAATACGGATTACAAGATCCCATTGGTTTAATGGCTCACTCATTCATGCTATGCTAGCGTTTTTTCTGTGTATCACTAGGCACTTAATACAGAAATCGACTAATAAAAAAAACGCTAATAAATGGCGTCCAAAGACTTGTTTGTGTTGTTTTTTCTTTATGATGGCGTCTGAACCTCGTTGGTTTTGCGCAGCCACACGAGAGCCTCCTTGCTATATTTCTATTGTATTGGGAATAACCAATTAGCATATTTTCGAATCTTACACTGGGAATGCCCAATTGAATTCAATTGGAAATTACCTATAGGTAGCTTTATCCAATCGAAACCGCTAAAAAACAGTAGAATCCTAATTGGATTGGGAATAACCAATTAGCAGATTCCTTTTTCGAATCTTACACTGTAAATGCCCAATTGAATGTAATTGGAAATTACACATGGGTAGCTTTCCCAATCGAAACACATAAAAAACATTAGAATCCTAATTGGACTTTTCCATCATGGAAATTTAAATACCAGTAAAAACTTCAATTGGTTTCTACAGGAATTAATCGGTCATTTACAACAGGGTAGTTTATCAACTTTACTTTAACTTAATCTGATAAACTGGTCCTTAAACAGTACTAATAAAATAATTTTGATAAAAAAGAAATTTTTCACTGGAACCACCCATATGTCAAAAACGTAATTTGGCTATTTATAGACGGATTTTGATAAACTTTTTTAAAAAATACTTGTACAAACATTATTTTGGAATAAATTTTTTATAAAATTATTATTTTACCTGTTTATCTGGTAAAACATTGATATGGCACTGTTGGCACTGTTGGCATTGTTGCCCCATATTAAGCCAAGAATTACCCGACATCCATGTACGGTGGCATTTAGGGCATTTGTACTCTCCAAAGCACCTTTGGTTTTTTTCCAACCGGCCTTAAAAACAAACAAAATCATTACAAAAAGTTTTCAGTTCAAACATATAAAATGCTTACCTCATTATAAATTTATGTTCGTATGTATGTAGGTGCAAATTTTGATATTTGTTACTTTTGTTGTACTGGCAAAATTGTCCTATAGGACAATAGGACGATATATCGGTGTAACGAGCAAAAATCAACTGCTGCTGAATAACACCATAGATAATTCCCACATCGCAAACAAAGGCTATAGGAAAAATACCCAATTAGGTACTTTGGGGGAAGTACCCAATTACTTGGGTGTGGTCTGTGGTGTGAATCCTCGCAACTTATAATTAATCTATTGGTCAATAGATGGCATCGTTTATTATTCGCTATATTTTGTATAGAGGACCTTGTTTCCTTTTTTAGGGGAAATTTATAGATTTGCTCCATCATTTTACCTTAGTCAGTTCATAAGTGGGGAATTTAAAATATATGATACCATAGACATAATAATACGTCCACGCATGATACGAATTGTCAACTAAATAAAATTTAGGTTATATAAAAATTTTCTAAATCATTTGCTTACATCGCCTAGGTTAAGCTTACCTAAATTTTTGTGGTTTGGCTTTATAAAAAGCAAAAACCATCTACATATTAGTATGTCTATGATACAAACCTTTTGGCTATCGTTATAGAAATACGACGTTGCCAAATTCTTGCTGTTATAAAATCTAAAATATCATCATTTTGTGTGTTTATTATTGTTAAATGCTTTTTTTTTCATAAAATTTATATACAATTTATTGAAAAGTATTTATTATACAGGGTGTCCTGAAATTAGTGCACCATACTTTAACAGCAGATTGTACGTGCAAAAATAAGAAAAAAAGTCCCTATAAACATAGGTCAAGAAATGCCTCTTAAGGGAGCTACAGCCCCCAAAAGGAAAGCCCCTGAAGATGGTTTTTATTTAATATCTCCAAAACCGTTTAAGATATAAAAGTGAAATTTGGGGAATTAATTAAACTTTTTATGACCAATAAGACGTAACAATAACAACTTAAAAATTTTTATGAGGTTTGGGTCAGATTGATAGGAAATAGGGTTAAAACCACCTTAACTTTTTTGTACGTATCTTGTACCAGAATTTGGTGTCAGATTATGAAATTTTAGAGTTTTGCACATAAAAAGGTCATCTTGTTGAACTTCGATAACATACACCGTTTTCGCATAAAATCGATTTGAAAATTATTTTTCATGGCATAAAAATTCACAATTAAATCACAACCATAGAAATGGACTCGCGTGGTCCTTGGAATACGGCTGCCATGTTTAGGAAAAAAATAGAATAGTTCAAGACAGGTGACAGTTTCATGTAGTAAGTGACAGGGTGTTTCTACTTTTTTATTTATATTAGATAAAAACCATATTCAGGGGCTCCCTTTTCGGGGGCTGTAGCTCCCTTAGGAGGCATTTCCCGACCTATATTTATAGGGACTTTTTTTTAATTTTTGCACGTCGAATCTGCTGTTAAAGTATGGTGCACTAATTTCGGAACACCCTGTATATAATAAATAAAGTATACTTCCAAAATAGGGATAAAAATATGGTATTTTTTATAAAAAAAATCATACATTATAAAAAAAATACTTTTAAACAGCACGTTACCAGTCCAGTCAACAAAAAGTTTAAGAAGGAAAACTAACTTACATTTCGAAATATAAATAAATACACATTTATTCTCCCATATTTAGTTTTTCTTATGTAAGCATTGAATTGGGAATCTAGTATAAGTCCTTTTTTCGATATAATATTTATTGAATATTAACTAAATCATAACAGAAATTTTAAATAATTTTTAATGTAGGTAAACTAATTTTGATTTTTATAATTTGGGTGTTTACATCATTTAAATTAAGGTAACCTATAAATAAACCGTATATCCTCGCTTAAACCCTGGCACGCAGATATGACCAAGTTGTTTGCATTTTTCACAGAGGTCCTGACGATGTTCTCTTGATGGGACCGAAATGTAAGGACCGTCAGGTTTTTTCCGAGGACTCTGCAATAAAACAAAAGAAAAAAATTGTGAAAAGCGATTTAAATATTTAGTTTTAAAAATCAAGTCGACATAAAAAAAATTGATTAAAGTGTTAGTTCACCCATTCAAGTGAGATGGTTAATTCAAAATTCAAAAACAGCACTAGGTATCTAGGTATATTAATTATTACAATGTCGACTTTTGGGTAATAATACAATGTTTTAAAAACTGAACTGCAGTCGACTGTCGACTACATATGGGAAACTTTTTAATTAATTAGTAATTTTACAAAAGAAAGGCATTATTTATAAAAAGTTCTGCTTCTTGAAAAAATAATATTAAACTATTAAAATTTGAAATAGTAGGTACAGGGTGGTCATAAAGCAGGATGTCTCAATTAAAAAAAGTATTATTATTTTTGCGAAAAAATTTACTCTTGGGCCATTCCACGCTTAACGGATAGGACAGTTGCCGTGTTTTTATTTACAAAATAATATTGTTCTATTATATTACCAATGTCAAATTTTTATAAATAGTTCTAAACAAAAGCTGTTTAACAAGGTTTTTATTTGGCAAAATTAGGTATCGTGATTGACTGTTTAATTCCTTAAAAATTAATTTAAAGCGTAACGGACGGGACCATTACGAAGTCCCGTCCGTTACGCTTTAAATTATTAGTTTTTAAGGAATTAAACAGTCAACCACGATACCTAATTTTGCCAAATAAAAACCTTGTTAAACAGCTTTAATTTAGAACTATTTATAAAAATTTGACATTAGTAATATAATATTATTTTGTAAATAAAAACACGGCAACTGTCCTATCCGTTACGCGTGGAATGGCTCTCTTCTACTTAACTTAACTTAAAATTGCATAATGGTCCTAAAATAGAAAAATTGATAATTGGGCCATTGGGCATTAAACGCCAAATCGACCGCTTTTGATTTGACTGAAATTTTTATGTACATATACAGTGTGACCCATTTGTTTGCGACTCACCCCTGTAAAATCTTTATTTATTGTGCGATTTTAACCGGCTTTTTTTTTAAGTGTAGATCTTAATAAACTGCAGTTTTTAAGAGTAATTTTTTAATAATTCATATTAAAGATTTTTTTAAACAAAATCTAAGCACGGCACTGGATTCACCTCCCCTCAAAACTACCCTATACTAAATTTTATTGAAAAATTTTAAGTAGAAAAATGCACAATACTAACTACAAAAAATTAATTCTGTCAAGTTATCCATGAAAAAATTTCGATAAAATAAAATTAAACTAATAGTAACATGTTTCAATTTTTTTAATAAAATTTAGTTTAGGGTCGTTTTGAGGGGAGGTGAATCCAGTGCCGTGCTTAGATTTTGTTTAAAAAAATACCTGTCAGATAAACTAATTAGTTTTCATGATAACTGGAACTTAATCTGATAAACAGGACTATTAATACATAATTTTGATAAAAAAATAACTGTTTTTTACCTTTTTATGTGGTAAAACATTAATATGGCACATGATGCATTCTTGCCCTATATTGAACCAAGAATTACCAGACATCCATCTGTGATTACAAATAGGGCATTTGTACTCTTTTTGATAATAATTTTTTTTTATAAAATTATTATTTTACCTGTTTATGTGGTATAACATTGATATGGCACTGTTGGCATTTTTGCCCCATATTAGGCCAAGAATTACCAGACATCCATGTTCGATTACAAATAGGGCATTTGTACTCTCCCAAGCATCTTTCGTTACTTCTCACGGGCCTTAAAAACAAACAAAATCATTATAAATAATATATTTTTTTTAGTAAAAACATCTAAAATGCTTACCTCATTATGTACAAATTTTGATGTACTTGTTACTTTTGTTATATTGGCAAAATTGTCCTATCGATGTTACGAACAAATATATATATATATATATATATATATATATATATATATATAATCTGCACAAGCTGAGATCCGTTCATGATATTTTTCGTTCAAGATGAGATCCGTTTGGAAAGTCGGGATCCGAATTCGGATCTCATCTTGCATCGTGTGTATATTTTTGTCAGAGTGATCAGTGGTGTTAAATATGATTGTTTAGCAATTTTTGTCTGGATCTCATTTTTCACATTTTTTTCCTTTCTTATATAAATTTACTTTAAGCGTTTCATGCAAGGTGGCGCTCCAAAACATTTTGCAGCAATGATAAATAAAGCATAAGCTGAGATCCTATCAAAGTGGCAACGTTGTGCCGCAGATGCTATAAAATGGGCGAGTAAAGACTCGTTTCTTTTTTTTTCTGTTAAACATCTCTAACTCTGTGCTTCGTTGTAAAAGGTAGGTGTTTAATTTAATATTGGATTAGCATAACTTCTAAATTGTAAATATTTTTTATTTTTGAAAGTGAATTTAATTTAATAATAAATAATAATACATATGCTTAAATAAAATAAGTTTACAAGTTTATTAGTTTATTTGTATTTAGTAATATTTTTAAACCACAGTCCTTTTTTTAATCTTTAAAAATAACCTAATTGTAATTTAAAAATCTATTAATTATTAGGAAAAAGTTGTGTCAAAATAAGTAACAATAAGTAACATTTTATTTTAGATGTCGACTGTGACGAGTTTTTACGTGTTTTTTTATTTGTTTCTTCCTGCATTGGCCATTAATTATTTGCCGTGTACCGAGAATGTGGATCAACGACATATGGACCAAGCAAGGGAAATTATTCAAGATGCAACACCGGCAGGGTACACCTTGGGTGAGGTTGAAGCAATGACAACGACGGGAAGAAACCCCCATCGGTGGATTGCCACATTTACCCGAGATAACAACGATTATGAAACTGGTTGTCAGTATATTTCTGCTGTGCAAAGAGAATTTAAAAGGAGATGTCCCCAAGGAGCTGAAATAAGATGTGTGCAAGTAAAAAGTAATCCAAATGAGCGAGGTATTAAAGTGGAATTTTTAGTAAATTGTTTCTGTACAAACATTCCAAGAAGACGAAGGCGATCCTTGTGGGCCCAATGTCATGCCAGAGGGTATACACGGGAACCTGCATTGTGTAATTTTTAAATTCAATTTTATATTTTTAACCAATTTTTAATGTACCCATTTTAATGTTTTTAAATTTGTTGTAATAATTGAATCGGTGAGAAAAAGAACAGTACATGTCCAAAAATATTATTTTGACAACTCATTTTCTAAAATCAATTTAAAAGTTTAAAATGCATTTTTGTGATAAGATATCAATCATTTTACAAAATATGATTATTATATTTTATAAAATAATTGAAATATTCCCACAAAAATATATTTTGAACTATAAAACGTATTTTATGAAATAATTTGTCAAAATTTTAGCTTTTGGACTTCTTCCGTTTTATAGTTCAACATATATTTTTGTGGGAATATTTAAATTATTTTATAAAATATAATAATCATATTTTGTAAAATGATTTATATTTTCTCACAAAAATGCATTTTAAACTTTTAAATTGATTTTAGAAAATGAGTTGTTAAAATAAAATTTTTCGACTTGTACTGTTCTTATTCTCACCGATTCAAATATTATAATAATTTGTAATAATTATTATCAACACTTCCATGTTTTGTAATATTTTTTACAACGAAGTTAATAAACATGTTTAACAGAAATTTTTGTTTTTTTTTATCGTAAATTAAACAAATTACAGTTACAATTTGTAGCAGTAAAATAAATAAATAAAAATATATTTTATTGTTTATTAAAAAATAATATTATTAAAAAACATTTTTATAAGATTCATACTTCCACATCGTCATGATACATGCAATAATATTAAAACCATTCCCCACCTCAAAATAATATTCTCTTAAGAGCCTTTGTTAGTATAACACAAAAATTAGTCTTATAATTAAATTAGATAATTATCTAATTTAATTATAAGACTAATTTTTGTGTTATACTAACAAAGGCTGTTTGTAATTGTCTTAGAATAAATTCATCAATCAAGTTTTTCTGACACCCCTGCATTATACTTACCAAACAAAACAATTTTTTTGTATAAATTTTAGATTAAAAAAAATTCAAGAACAAATAGGTTTAAGCATATTTTATTAAAAAGAAATATTTATATAAAATAATATATTTATATAAAAAAATAATAACATATAGGTATTTATATGGTGTCCATATTTAAGTATTACAAAATAAAAACTTAATTTAAATATTATTACATAAAAATATAAAATTGACAATATTAAAAAATAAATATGCAAAATTTAGGCGCGAAAGAAAAGGTTTATCGGACCGATAGTTACAGAGAAGTCTGGCCGATATCTTGTTTAACATAACGTGCTTAAATTAACAAACAAAAAATGCAAAACACATTTTATTTTTTAATAAGTTTAATATTGAAGTATTTTAAATTAAAAAAGGCAAAACTTTATAAAACACAACTAGGATACCAAAACTCAAAACCCCCAAAGGATTTTAAAAAGTTTGCTCGACTTTAAAAGCTATGGCCGTTTAAAGTTTGTCTCGTTGGCGTACCTAATCTGTATTACTTTGCCATTAATATTTATTTAAATGTTTTTTTAAGGAAAATTATAATTGATGATCAAATGCTAAATTTTTATAACCAATAAAACATCCAGAAAAGTCGCATTTATTAATATTTTAGATAAAAATTTTACGTTTTATCGTATTTTTATATGGTTATATGAAAAATATGACTTATTTTGTAAAAATAATCATTTAATTAACAGCAAATAATTCCTTTTAAAAATAATTTAAAAATATTTTCAAAATAATAACAATCAATTTAAATATTAAATTTTATTTTAAATAAAAAGTTTTGAATTCAATAAGGTAAACAAATTCACACGAACTATTGCAACTAAAACGGTAAATCAAGGATTTAAGCATAATAGTAGAGTGTTAATATAAATAATATTTTTAAATATATAAGAATATTTTTATAAATGATTTTTTTGGGTAGTTTTCTAGTAGAATTGTAATATTATATTATAAATATCTATTTTCCATTTAAAATATATGTATTTTTTTTATTTAAGTTTATATTTCTAACAAAGGTTAATATTATATGATATTAAATCACATTTAGTAAAAAATTAAATCTAAATCAGTTTTGCCTTAATTACTTCATTTTTTTGACAGGGTCAGGGCTTAAAATATCACTTGGGTCATTATGTAGAACAACAACATTTTCCATGTAAACATCAAGGATACCCAGTGTATTTAACATCTTTAAACCTAGTAGAGTAACCACTTCTCTGGCAGATTTTGGATTTATTCCCTCCCCAAAACAAAGAACTGTTGGATTGATCGACATAGATAACAAAGTATAGGATTTTTCGTTTTTTTCATTTTTCGATGTCAAATCCAAATAATTTACTTCAAATTGTTTGGAATTTGCGAATTCCAATAAAGTTGTTTGCCGTTTGACGTTCTTGTATTTTTGAATAAAAATAAAACAAAAATTATATTACTTATTGGTGAAAGGCGAAGTAAGTTAATACAGATTACGCGAACGAGTCATTCAAATGGTCATAACTTTTTGGTCTACAAAGATACCATCAACCCATCCAGACCGCATCCAGGTAATTTTTAATGTACATGAAATTGTGTAATTAAGCAGTACAAAAAGATACTTTTTTTATTTTTGAAACTTTATATTTTTTGTTTTACACTCTGATCCTCCAGTTTTACTGTAGCGATTATTTGCAAAATCTTCAGATGTATACATCCAACCCAATTATGGTTGGTATGGCGTCGACTTTTGCTAACGGTTTCACGAATAGGGTTTTTAAATCAATTTAATTTCTACACAGGGACTTTATTGTTAAGAGATCAGTTTATAAAGACAAAATAAGTTTGTTGTGCAATTGTACTTGGGGATTTTATTATCTTTATAGTATAGAAAGCCCTTGTTATTAACTCAAATGGGTCACTGGAATTGGTATGAAAAACCATAAAAATTTATAAGAGACAAAAAATAATCTACAATAAGTGATTACCTACCTGAAAAAAATACCGTTTGGAAGTCACTGGCGCACGTACTAAAAAGAGTGGGGGTCAGTGAGTACTGTACCACCCTATTTTGATTTTTTGACAATTGTTTTTTGTTTTGTTGTCCTCAACTTTTTATGTTGAAGTAGTGTACCGAATTTGAACTTAATATTTTATCAATTACTCGAATTATTAAAATAAATCAATTTTAAATTTCAAACTTTATCGCCCTGTATATCGAACATGAAGCTCTAAATTGAAAAATGGTATTATAAAAGTGTAATTGTTTTAACTCAAGGAATATATGGTTAAAGGATTGACCTCTTTTTTCCAGACACCCTGTATAACAATATCAAGTGTAAAAAATGTGAAAAAATATATTTTTTTGACGATCGCGAAATTATTTAAACATATAACGAAGAAAATTATTTGCTTGAAATAACAAACGGAAAACGCAAGCCACTTTTTATTTGTTTGTGGTTTTATTTGAAATGTAAAAGTACATTTGAAAATCCAATTTGTAACTTTAAAATTGTAGTACCTATTTAGAATTAAAAAAGACAAATACTTTATTAATCGAACAGTTTGGAAATCAGAAGTCATATCGTCCCCTTAGTTCAACAACTAGATAACTTGAAATTTATAGTTTTGAGAAAATCCACTTTAAAGATTTAAAACGAAACAAATTACAGCTGTTAAGTAATCAAAAATATTTAACATCTATGATATTATCTGATTACTTAACAGCTGTAATTTTTTTGCGTTTTAAATCTTTAAAGTGGATTTTCTCAAAACTCGAGTTTCAAGTTATCTAGTTGTTGGGGCGATATCATATCATTGTTGACTCATGGTTAGGCGGCAACGCCATAAAAATATCCTCCAGTGACAGAATAAACACTGGCAACACTGTTGGACCTCAGCTTAATGTTATAATATCAACTTATACAAGGGCGGATCTCGTCTATCACTAACTTTTTAAAGGATCTCGTGTTGTGTTATATACTTGGTGTATTATTTAATTGCAAAAAATGTTTCCCCTCTGTTGGTGTACTTGCTAACAATATTGTTTTAGTTAATTTTGTAATATTGGTTTTTTCTAATATGCTATATTTTAAGTGGATCTCAGGTTGCCTAGGGTTTATCAGGATCTCACCTTTATATGAATACGTGTATATATATATATATATATATATATATATATATATATATATATATATATATACACCAAATTACTTTAATCTAACATTTTAAATAAATTTCTCCCCCTTCCCACCGAAATGTGAGATACCGTTTTGTTTTGAGATATTTTTAGATTTAGATTAGATTTTTATATTCCAGCAAGTGTATAATCTTTATGGTTGTTATACCAAAACCCTTCTTAAATATCGGTTATAAAAACACCTGTTTTATTTATTTTTATTTAAGAAAAATCACTATGACGTTTAAATTGCGACGTTGCCACACATATTTGGATCTATGGAGCTTTCAGGGTCATGCAGAATAAAATTAAAAGTGTTTTTTCGATAAAATATTTATTCAATAACATTGTCATCGTCTAGTAGTTAAATAGTAAAAGAAATTTTAAATAATTTTTAATGTATGGGAATTTTGAACTTTATAATTACTTTACATTAAAAACGATTTAATTTCGTAGATAATCTAAATATACACAAAATGTTTTTTACCAAATTTATACACATATTTTTTTAATATAAAATCATCTAAAATTAAAATCAGCTGCCAAAATAAAACAATGGGGGGAAATTAAGTACAGAACAAAATAAAATATATAAAAAATAATATAAAAAGTAATAAAATATAAAAAAAATAATAATATAAAATAAAATGAGGTATAATAATTCTTAGGTTACTGCACTCGCCTACAGTAATAACCAAGTTCTTTGCATTTTTGACAGAGGTGCTGAGGATGTACCTTTGATTGGTCCGAAACGTCAAGACCGTCAGGTTTTTCCAGAGGACGCTAAAAATATTAAAATTGTGTTTTTTACTTACACTGTTAAAAAGAATCAGGTTAGCATGAAAAAAATTAAATAAATTTCGGTTAAAAAGAAAAACTGTTGGTTGCATTAAAAAAATCGTATATTGTTATTGTTAGGGTAGGTATACCCTAAAAATTTTAATTAAATGTACGGGTGATTCCAGTAAAATGGTAAATTATTACAATGTCAACTTTTGGGTAGAAATGCAATTTTCGGGGAATATAAGTTTATAAATCAGCAACAGATTTCATAAATCAAAAAATGTTAAAATCACTTTTTAGAATGTTAAAAGCATATTTAAGAAATATTATATTATAAAGACACATTTAAGAATGTTAAAGGCATACTTGAAAATGCCAAAAAATGTTAAAATCGCTTTTTAGAATTTTAAAATCATATTTAAGAATTTTAAATTGTAAAGACACATTTTAAAATATTAAAGGCATATTTAAGAATGTCAATACTGATTTCATAAAATCAAAAAATATTAAAACCACATTTTAGAATGTCAAAAACACATTTTAGAACTTCAAAATCATAACAATCTCAAAAGTGCTCAAGAATCTTAAGAATTATTTAAGAGTGTCAAAGAAACACATTTTAGAATGTTAAAGGCATATTTAAGAATTTTAGATTGTGAAGACACATTTTAGAATGTTAAGTGCATCTTTGAGAATGTCAATAGGCAATGATTTCATAAAATCAAAAAGTGTTAAAATAACTTTTTTCCATAATATGGATTTTATATTATCAAGACCCATTTTAGTTAAACGCATATTTAAGAATTTCAAAACTGATTTTATAAATTGTTGTTGTTGTATAAAATGTTTAAACCACTTTTTGGAATTTTAAAAACAAATTTAAGAATTTTAGATTGTAAAGACGTTTCAGAATGTTAAAGGCATATTTAGGAATGGCAATACTAATTTTATAAATAAAAAAATGTTAAAATTACGTTTTAGAATTTGAAAGAATGTTTAAAAAATTTAGACACGTTTAAGAATGTTAAATGCATATTTAAGAATGTTAATACTGAATTTATAAAAGCAAAAAATATATAAAACACATTTTAGAACTTCAAAAGGATAAAAATCTCAAAATTGCTCAAGAATGTTGAGAATTATTTAAGAATGTCAAAAAACACATTTTAGAATGTTAAAGGCATATTTGAACATTCCAAAATTGATTTCATATAATCAAAAAATGTTAAAATCACTTTTTAGAATGTTAAAAGCAAATTTTAGATTGTAAAGACACATTTTAGAATGTTAAATGCATTTTTGAGAATGTCAATAGGCAATGATTTCATAAAATCAAAAAGTATTAGAATAACTTTTTAGAATGTTAAAAGCAAATTAAGGATTTTAGATTGTCAAGACACATTTTAGAATGTTAAACGCATATTTAAGTATTTCAATACTGATTTTATAAATTTAAAAAATATTTAAAGCACTTTTTAGAATGTTAAAAGCAAATTTAAGAATTTTAAATTGTAAATATATTTCAGAATGTTAAACGCATATTTAAGAATTTCAATATTTTATTTTATAAATTTAAAAAATGTTTAAACCACTATTTAGAATTAAAAAAAAAAATTTAAGAATTTTAGATTGTAAAGACACATTTTAGAATGATAAAGGCATATTTGAGAATGGCAATACTAATTTTATAAATTAAAAAATGTTAAAATCACGTTTTTGAATTTGAAAGAATATTTAAAAAATTAAGATTGTAAACACATGGTAGAATTTTAAATGCATATTTAAGAATTTCAATACTGAATTTATAAAAGCAAAGAATATTAAAATTACTGTTTAGAATGTCAAAAACACATTTCAGAACTTCAAAAGGATAAAAATCTCAAAATTACTCAAGAATGTTGAAAATTATTTAAGAATATGTCAAAAACAAATTTTGGAATATTAAAGGTATATTTGAGAATACCAATACTGATTTCATAAAATAAAAAAATGATAAAATCACTTTTTAGAAAGTTAAAAGCGAATTTAAGAATTTTAGATTGTAAAGACATTTTAGAATGTTAAATGCTTTTTTGGGAATGTCAATAGGCAATGATTTCATAAAATAAAAAAGTATTACAATAACGTTTTAGAATTTTAAAAGATGAGGATAAACCAAAAAAGTAGTGGTTTTTATCTTAAAAATGCCCAGAAAAGAGTATAATAATTATTGATACTTTAAAATATTCAAATTTAAAATAGGTATGTTTATGTTAAGAACATATTTTATTCATTGATTTTTTTATTACTATAATCGCAAAATATTATCACAAAGTATTAATTATTTTTACATAATATATTATAAAATTGTTCAAATTTCTCAAAATATTTTTTTTCTTTTATGAAAAAAGTAAAATCATATTTCACATCATTTAAATTGTGTTGTATTTTACTTATAAATAATATTATTAAAAAATAACTTATTTTAAGTATATTTTTCAACGTATCATTTTTTACCCATTCACTGGAATCGTAACTTCGTTATTTGAACGGATTTTAATAATTTTTTTTTAGAAATGCTTGTAAAAAAATTAATGTTTTACCTGTTTATGTGGAAAAACATTTATATGGCACTTGATGCATTCTTGCCCCATATTGGACCAAGAATTCCCCGACATCCATTTTCGCTTGCATTTAGGGCATTTGTACTCTCCAAAGCACCTTTTTCTGCCCTGGTAAGGGGTCTTGCCCTCACCTTTGGGTCTAGCCTAGAAAGAATTAGAAAAAATTAGATAAATTGTTAGACGAGGCTCGCTATTATTAATAGTTTAAATTTGGCCAGTGTTCAGTGACACTTGGTCCAGGTATTTTAATAATAAATTAAATTGAAAGTTTATTATAAAATAGTATTTGTTTTCCACGACTGCTATGACTCATAAATTGCTATATGAAAGAATAGTGCCTACGAATGTTATTTCACGCGATAATATGGTTATTTGAGACGTACAACGATAAAGAACCTATTTATTTATTTCTTTTCAGAACCTAATTCGAAGAATCAATAATGTTATGTCGCAACACTTTTAGGTGTGTTTATTTTTGTACTGTGAAACAAATAGCTGAACCAAAAAAATAAGAAAATACAGGGGCTTCGGTTCGACTGCTTATAACTTTTTTACAACGATTAAATAAATTGTTCTGAATTCAGTGAATGGTCGAACCAAAGCTTTCCCGAGAAATGGATTGGTAGAAGAGGTGCTTAACAATGGCCGGCAAGATCTCCAGACTTAACGCCACTTGATTTTTTTCATTGGGGTCGTTTAAAAACATCCCCTGGGAACTTTCAAGAAGTCAAACGAAAAATATTTCAAGAATGTACAAAAAGTTTGACTACAGTTTGAGAAATTATATATTAAATATACAGTAGGTATACAGTAATTGGTCCTCATACTCTCCTCCTTATAGGGGGAACTTTAAAATGTCCTATGGAACACCCTATTTTTTATTGCAGATTCGACTAAAAATAGGTAAATTTTGTCTAAAACATTATTTCATATTTGTAATAGATGGCGCTGTAATAAAAAAATCAATTTTGTTCGATTTTTCTTCTGTATACGATTCTGCAATAATTTTTCTATAAAAATATCACTTTTTTTGGTAATAATTATCTCATTAAATTAAATTTGATTTTTTTAAGTACCCTCGATTTTTTAACTAATATTTAAGTTTCCTTTGGTTTAAGTTTTATACATTATTTCATTCGGTGATAATTATCAATTGCGCACCATGGTCACTTTTTACCTGCCAGCATTAATCCTTTAAATTAAAGGATTATTGTACTATTTTTAATAAAAATACCTCATTTAAGGTAAAAAACCATTATTTTGTCAATTAATTAATTTAACCCTAATTGAGGTATTAAAAAATGATATTTAGTTATAAATAATAATTATTATTGAGGTATAAAGAAACTATTTATAGTTTAGCATTATTTAATCAATTTAGTTCGAAGATTAATTTGCAAACAAAAAGACCTCCTTTCGTTAAGCAGTTATTCATAATGGATTTTTTAACAGTGGAAGAAAAAATTGAAATGATTTTGATTTATGGAGAAGCAGGCAGGAATCTTGATGATGCTTTTAATATCTACGCTCAGCGTTTTCCAGATAAAATTCGATCAGGTACTTCATTTCACCGTACAGTCAAGCAGTTTACTACAAACGGGAGTGTTTAACTGAAAAAAAGAGTTCGTCGAGGAACAATCACAGGTGTTTCAGATATTTAGTTAAGTTAAGTTAAATGACTCACCCTCTATATAACTCGAAAGTAATCAAGGGTGGCTAGTTTTTATTAATTACAAAATTGTTATATAAACTCAAACTTTAAAATCGATAACTAAAGCTCTTGTAAAATTTTTTAGGACCCAATTAAAAAGATATTTATTTTTTTAACACCATATCTATATTTCTTTATATTTACTTTACAGAGTGCCCACTTCACTAAAAAAGTTTATTATAAACATCGCATAAATAAAAGAAATGTTTATTTTAAAAAAAATAAACACTTTAGATTTGATACGTGTATCTACAATATGTCATGTTTCCAAGACTATATACAGGGTGTTGCAACTAACCTGCGGACAATCTTTGATGTAGTGGCCCTTTTGAAAACAAAGATGGCACAGGTAGGATGGCGGCGGTCGTTTGATTGGTCGCCTGTCAAACGTCAAATCAGCCAATTGGTCGGATAAGTCTTGGATGGGGTCGTGTATACTCGAGTTTGAGTAGCCACTGTAGACGTTGTACGACTGGTACTGGGGGGTGGAAAATGGGTTCCATGTCGGAGATAGAAGTTTGTGCTGTAAAATAGTTATTTATGTATCAAGGCAGTAAAGTCGTTTTTAATGCCGAGGTGCATATTAAATTTTATCCGAAATCACATTTAATAATACTAATAATTAAAATTGATGATTAAATCAAATGTCATTTGATGATCAAATCAAATGTCATTTGAATGTAGGAACCCAAGCAGCATTTTAAGTTTAAATAACTACAACTTTACTACTAAGTCAACTTTAAAGTATTTTTTACGGTTAATCAAAACGGTTTTATAACGGTATACATACGAAAAATTACCAATTTTGGGGAATGGTTTATTTCGTTATTTTACCTACATAATAACCTTTTGGATCTACTAAGAGAATAACGTAATAAAAACAATATAAATACCACAAATTTACGTAAAAATAACGTTATAATTACTAACTGTTTGCTCTTACTTTCAAAAACATTGACATTCGTAATTTCTTTGTTCTTAAAATTTATATTTTACAAACTGGTACTTACAAAGTAATAAAGGTCACCCTAGAGTAAAATTATAAAATATAACTTAAATTGTCAAAACTAATAATATTTTGCATTTAAACTCAAACGCACATTATTTTATTGATAAAAATAGGCAGGATACATCTTAAAAATTACATACCCTCTAAATATTTTACAGTTTTAAGAAAAATTATTGCTTGGGTAAAAATTCAACAAAACTTAAAACCTACAAAATTTTATAAAATCTTTTAAAAATTATTTAGTTTTAATAATTTTTTAATAACTAAAACTTTCTTTATTATATTTATTAGGGTGTCCCAAAAAAAAGAATATATTTTTTTTTCTTGTCTCTTGTAAAAATATGTTAGTTTATCATGCTGTAAGAGCCCTTTCAAAATATCAGCTGGATTAAAAATTTTGTAGGGGTCGCTCAAGATTTTTAAAAATTTTCAAAATCGTCAAAAATTGAATTTTTGTTTTATTTTAATTCTTTTTCTCGTCTCGATATTATTTTTTAGGTTGAAAATAATAAAAATTCTGTAAATTTCAAATCAATATTTTGATTTCTAAAGGTCGCTAAAAGTTCGTTGATATTTATATATAATATATTCAGAGGTCGCTCGAAAACATTCAAAATACTCTACTTTGAAAGTTAAAAAAATCTTGAGCGACCTTTAGAAATTAAAATATCGGTTTGAAATTTTCAGAATCATTATTATTTTTAAATTAAAAAATAATATCGGAACGAGAAAAAAAATTAAAATAAAAAAAAATCCAATTTTTGACGATTTTGGTAATTTTTAAAAATCTTGAGCGACCCCTAAAAATTTTTTTATGGTGCTGATCTTTTGACAGGGCTCTTAAAACATGACAAACCAACATATTTTCACAAGAGACGAGAAGAAAAAAATATTTTTTTTTTTTGGGACACCCTAATATTTATATTATATTTATGAAAAAATATCATATAAATGGATGCCATCTTAAAAAATTCATTATGGCGACCTGAAAAATATTTTCCCTTAAAGTTTTATTTTTCACTTTAAGCTTATTTTTTCTTGTTTAGTCAATATTAAAAGTATTTATTACCACTAATAACCCTAAAAAATACCAGGCGAATAGGAATTATTTACGGTTATAAAGTGGTCTTAATATCGTAAAATTATGACTTATGAGTAACATTTACCATTAAGTAAAAATTCTGAGGTTAAATTTACCGTTAAATTTTCTTTTAGGTGAAATACACTTATAAGTAATTTTCTTTCGTAAAAAATACGTAATTATTTTTATTAAACAACATTTTATGATTTAGTTTCTGCTGAGGAGCAGTAGACACATCTTAAAATGTATAATGGGTTGTATAAAATACTAGTATTAGTAGAACTTAACTGCCGATTTCTTCTACTTTACTGCCGATTGTTGACTACTTTACTGCCGATTTCGGATAAAATTGTTTTTTTGTGTTTATCCTGAACATTTTGGTTCTATTTCTTGTTTTCATTAAATTACCTGATATTGATCAGATCCTTCGTACTGATACCAGTTGGTGGTCGGGAAATATGACGTGATCATGGAACTTCCCGATCCAGTACTGTTGTAGTCCTGCTGCCTGTTCCTGCTGTGCAGCAATCCTGAGTTCAAACTCGCAGGTTGCGATACCAAGGTTGCCGTTGGCGACATTATGTCCGAAAGGTATCTAAAACGATTATTTTACGAATAAATTTTGATTAAAATATGCTGGCTAATTTACTGTATCTTAGTCTTGGCAAACGGTTCGTTATTGTGGTGATAAATGTGTTAGGATCGTTATTAGTTATATCTGTTTTATTAATTACTTTAACAAATGATTAAGAAAGTCTTATTTTTACTAAAATAAATATGTATATTATACAGGGTGCCTCAAGTATCCTTATATGTATAGAATACACTGTATATATTTTGGTGGTTTTTTATTTCCCAACTACATTTTTTTTAATTCTCAGGATGTAATAAAATATATGCCACATTTTTGTAAAATTCAGTCTATTTATGATGATTAATTATTGATTTTTTTGAGTTTTTAGGAAAATTGTAATATTTACAATTTTATTTTTTTTTACAAAAATTGTTTAAATTTATTTTAGATAAAAAAAAATAACGATTTTCAAATTTTGAAATCCTAATTTTAAGTAAAAAATTTTAACCAATAATAGGTAGTTTTTTTATTTTATTGTATTTAAAATAACTTTTCCCAATAGCTAAAAAATTAAGATTTGGATATTTTTGACGCTTAATTTTTACAAGTTGTTTAGGATTTTAATAAAAATAAAAAGTGCGTTTACTATTTTTCTGTATGTCTTTAAAAATGATGATTTGAGAAAAATGTAAAAATTTTAAAATGCATCTTAGGTAAAAAATGTTTGCTATTTTTAAGCGTAATTTTTTAGAAAACCTATTTTGGAGGTATTTTAATAAAAAAAATTAAAAACATAAAAAGCACGTTTAAAAATTTTCTGTATGTCTTTAAAACTGATAATTTTTTTTATTTGGAAAAAAACGTCAAATTGACCAAAAGTATTTTTTAAGTATTAAATTTTTTCACAATTCATTTAATTTTTGATGTTATTTTAAAATATTATATAATTTAATTTTTTTGAAATAGTTAAAACAACCCTTTCTTGTATTTTGTAGTATTTTAATGAAACACTCAAAAATAATATTTTGGTATTTTTCTGTATGTCTTTAAAACTAAGGATTTGAGAAAAAATTCAAATTGCATTTAGGTAAAAAAAATTACAATTTTGATAATTTGAAGCCTAACTTTTTAAAAAACCCAATTTGGAGGTTAATAAACTATAATAAACAATAAAAAGCACGTTTAAAAATTTTCTGTGTCTTTAAAACTGATGATTTATTTTATTTAGAAAAACGTCAAATTGACCAAAAGTATTAATTTTTTTCACGATTCAGTGATGTAATTTTAAAATATTATAAAATTTGATTTGAAGTTTTCAGGAAAAACTACAACAAATTTTTGCATTTTAAGAATAATTGTATTTTTTTACATTTTTTAATTTATTTTATATTAAAAAAAACAATTTTGATATTTTGACCCTAAAAATTTTTTTTATTTAATTTTATTAAATTTTTAAAAACTTTACATTTTTTCATTTTCTTTGTAGTAAGAACAACTCTTTTTTACAAATTTTGTAGTATTTTAATGAAACATACCTACATAAGATAAGATCATGATACCTAATAATAATATTTTTTTTTATTTATCTACATTTATCATTATCGTTGTTTAAAATTTTAATAAAAATAAAAAAAGTGCGTTTATTATTTTTCTGCATGTCTTTAAAACTGATGATTTTTATTATTTAGAAAAAAAAACGTCAAAATGACGAAAAGTATTTTTTAAGTATATATTAAATTTTTTCACAATTCAGTCAATTTTTGATGATATTTTAAAATTTTATAAAATTTGATTTTTTTGAAATCTGTACGTTTTCAGAAAACACTACCTACAACAAATTAAAAAAATAATTTTGATATTTTGACAATTTTTACAATTTTATAAATGTTTAAAAACTTTATTTTCTTTGTAGTAAAAACAACTATTTTTTACAAACTTTGTAGTATTTTAATAAAACATAAAAAATAATATTAAAAATAAAATTATATTTTCTGGATTTATTTAAAAAAAACTAGCATTTTAGTTAAAAAAAACTTACGATTTTGGTATTTTGATAGCTGATGGCTCATAAAAAATAAGTTTTTTCAATCACCTTTTTTTTATAGTAAATTTAAAAATATATACAGGGAAATAAAAGAAACAGATGTTTCGCAAAATCTGTTTTAAAGACATGCAAAATAATAAACGCACTTTTTATTTTTATAAAAATCCCAATTTGTAAAAAAAGTGTCAAAATATCTGAATCGTAATGGGAAAAGTTATTTTTAATACAAAAAAAAAATAAAAAAACTTGTTTTGGTACATTTTTTACTTAAAATTAGGTTTTTAAAAAAGTCAAAATTTAAAAATCTAAGATAAAATTGTTTGTAAATTTTTCAATTTTCCTAAAAAATTATTACGAAAATCATTAATTAATAAATAATGTTTTAAAGCTTTAACAATAACATCACCAATCGACTGAATTAAAAAAAAATAGCCATATCTAAAAAATACGCTGATATTTTTAATGATTTTAAAATTTTTCTGAAAAATGTATTTTTTATAAAAAAAAATCGTCACAAAAGTATCAAAGTACCAAAATGCTAACAATTTTTTGGAGATTATACGATTTATTTGAAAATTTGCATTACTAAAAAAAACATTAGTATACAGAGTGTCACGAAAATGGCGCGCTAACATTTTAAGTAAAAAAAATATAAAAAACAATCTTCCGACGAGTTTTTGAGTTATATAAAATTTAAATTAAAAAAATTTTCGTCTAATAGGTAAGCTAAAATATTTCAAAATATGAAATCGTAGCTTTGTTTAAATAATATTTATAAATGTTATTAAAAAAATCGAAAAAGTGAGTTTTTTAATATTTCATTTCATTTTATTTCAGTTAAAAGTGTAAAGATTACAAAATAAAAAATAAAATAGTAGCATGCTCAACAACACGCATTCATTTTTTGTGTTAACTGACAAATAAAAAAAATAAAATCACCTTTCAGTCATGAATGATGCTCGTGGAATGTCAATGTATATCTCCTGCATAATTTTTTGTGTTAATAAAGCTGAAAACGTGAAAAGCTTGTAAAATGTGTAAAGAAAAACGAAAGCTGAAAACTCATTTAGCGTAATAGTTTTGTACACTTTATTATTTAAGTGGTGCTGCGTACGCTTATTAATCGAATCAACTTTTAAACACAGCTGTATTAAAGCGCTTAAAATAGATTATAGAGTATACTATTGTGTATATTATAATTAGTCCCTTATATTCAGCATCACGAACATACATAATATTATCTTTTAAATAAATTGTACAAAACTTTTTTAAATGTTAAAAATTGTAAAACCTACCTTAGTTATTTAAAAATCCACAAATTTAAGTACTATTAATAGCCCTAAGCTGAAAAGTCACTCGAAAAAAACAAAAATCACCGAAAATACACGCGAAAAACTTGTTCATGCGGTTCACATTTTTATTTCAGCGTTGCGCGACTTAATTATAGGGTGCTGTGCAATTGACAATTGCAGCACGGCATTCTGGATCTCTGGACGACGTGTGACGTCACCCCACCAGGCCGGCGGAGAGGGGGCAAAAAGCCTGACTTAAGTCTTAAAATAAGTCGAACAGGGAACTGTGTTTAAAATTCGATTTTATTTGATTTTTCGTGTGTTGTTTACGGGGATTTTTTGGTTAAGTTTGTGGCGGATTTGGGGACTACCCAAGCAGCACAACTGGTTAATTAATTAACATTCTAAGTAAATTAACCAAAATATAAGTAAAATAACTTTGTTTTTTAACCAATTAGTTGTATTTAACCATTACATTTTTTTGGTTTACTATGAACTAAAAAAATTTCCCTTTAAATTTACCAACCGGTTGCGATAACTTTAAGTTTTTTTTAGTATAATTTAACAAATAAAAGAAACATATTGGTAATTTTATCAACTAGTTAAAAATATTGGGCTTATTTAAAGTCAATTTAAACTTTTGAAACAACCTAAATTTACCTATAGGTTAGTAATATTACTTATAAGTTAAAAAGTAGGCTATTTTAGAAGTTACATACAAACATATATATATTATCTTTGGTTACATAACGTTATATTAACTTCTAATTTTAACCTTTGAAAATAGTTAAGACTAGATATTTTTTTAGACATATTTTGGTAATTTAACTTTTGATATAACTTTTTGGTAAATTAACCACAGCTTTGGTTAATTTGGATATATTTTTTTAACCAGCAAGTTATATTTTAACTTTAATTAATAAATTGGTTAAAAAAGTGATGGTTTTGTAGTTTTCATTATTACTTGCATGAAAAAATCAGTCTCACTCCAGCGTTATATACAGTGTGACCCATTTGTTTGCGACTCATCCCTGTAAAATCTTTATTTATTGTGCGTTTTTAACCGGATTTGTTTTAAAGTGTAGATCTTGATAAACTGTATTTTTCGAGCGAAAAACGCCATATTTTTACAAAATACAAGGCCTACTATGTCAGTTTATAAGAGTAAATTTTTAAGAATTCATATAAGCGATTTTTTTAAACAAAATCCAAGCATGGCACTGGATTCACCACCCCTCAAAACGACCCTATACTAAGTTTTATTGAAAAATTTTAAGTAGAAAAATGCACAATAATAACTACAAAAATTTATTCTGTCAAGTTTTTTCAAATGTGTTTTTTCTTACTTTTTAACTCATGTAAAGGATTTCCCATAAATTTAGATTTTTAAATTAATTTAAAAAAAAATCATAATTTTTTCTTCAAACGTGTTTTTTTCTTACATTTGACCCAACTAAAGGTACTCCCAAAGATTCAGATTTTTAAATTAATTTTTAACCTAAGCCTTGATCACATTAAAAAAAATCAGAAAAAATCCTTAGAAAGAAGGAAAAATCGTAATTTTTTTTCAAATGTGGTTTTTTCTTACTTTTTGGCCCAAAGTTTCACATTAATTTTATTCCAAAACTAAGGTACATAATTTAAACAAACCAATAATAAAACCTAATATTATTTAATGTTTAAAAGTATTTTAAATCAATTTCGAACGAAATAAAGAAAAAATAGGCAAAACATAGTATATTAAAGAACTAATGTCATAAGACAATTTATAAAACGAGCGACGAAGGAGCGAGTTTTATAATGGACGAGTGCAATTTTATCTATTTTGCAAAAATTCTATAAAAAAATTAATTTTACACCTTAAATTTATTTGCTCGAATTTTACTTTAGATAGTTGGTATCACAGTCATTGGTTTGACAGTTAATGTCAAAATCTATTTGCCATGCCGTCCTTAATTTACTTATTTACAATAAGCGGCTGTTAATGTTAAAGAAGAAAAAAAGGATTTTCTTTGGTGTCAAACAAAATTTATTGCCAGAAAAGTCTCGTTAGTATTAGAAAAAATATTATGCTGTTTAAAGTATAGCCAACCTATAAAATCAAAATTTTGGGTGGGATAAAGTATCTCATTACAGCACCGAAAGCGGTGTTTTAATGAAGTCATTATGAACGCAAATAGATAAAATTAATTCAACGTTTTATTTAACCAGTTTTGCTACTTGGGTAAAGTCTGTTTGGTTTTCAAGAAAGTTTGGAAAAATGTCGAAGTCAAAAAAGAATAAAACTGTTAAATAAAATTTAAACCCGGCGCATTCGCCATTTTTTAAATAAAATAATGCAAAATCGCAATGAAAATTAAATGATAAAATCCATCTTTTTGAAGTAGTGGAAGAGATACCTGGCATTTATATAATTCAGGACTGTCTCTTAAACAGTCGAAAAAAAATTTAAAAATATTACAATAGGTGTGTGTTGCTGTTCTCAGGAAGATTTTAAAATAGCTTTATACGGCCCTTTTTCAATCGCTTCAGAAACTATATTAAGCATACATATCTGGCTTTTTCCTATATTAAACAGACGGTTTTGTATATTACTTAACGGAGCGCTGACACATATACAATTTGTTGATCTTTTTATAAAATTTTGCCCAACATTTTTATCCAAAAACAAACCTTAATTATACAGTAAGTGTATAGGTACACTGATTGACAGCAATTTTGACACATTTTAATAGAAGAAATTACTGTGTAGCGAAACAATTGCGAACATTTAATGAATTACGTGAAACTTTCAAAACATAGTTGTTTTTATATTTACAAAGTTGTCATTAGTTAATTCTGCACCAACAAATGTACTTACCGAATTGGATCCTTTGGCAAAACATGAAAAATCAACGATTTAGTTCTTGAATAACATTTACCTACAATTAAAAACACAATAATTCACCATAATCACTTAGATTAACTTTCACACACTAACGTAACAAAATTTGTCCAGTAAGACTGCCTTCCTCTATTTGGAAAACAAACTACTGATTTGTTTAAAAATGATATGCAGTTCGTATGCTTTAAATGTATTGTTGACTATTTTTGAACATATAACAAATATTCTTGAACATATAACAAATATGTTCTTGAATTATCACAATGCATTTGTTAATTCTGCACCAACAAATATACTTACCGAATTCGATCCTTTGGCAAAACATGAAAATGCAACGATTTAGTTCTTGAATTTTAATTACAATTTAAAACACAATAATTCACTACCGTAACTATACAGGGTGAATCGGAAGGATCGCACCGAATTCTAGAACTGCATTGTACACATTAAAATAATTTAAAAAAACTTCAAATGTTCTTATTCGATTCTCATTTGTTTTGAAGTTATAGCGTAATTAAAAAATAAATAAAATGAAACGGTAACATTTGTTTAATAGTTATGACTTTTTATAAGGTGTTCAAAAATACCCCCATTGAGTTCTAAACATGCTCTGCTACGTCTGCGAACAGCGCCTGTTGCTTGTACTATAACTCTTGTTTTTCTTTAAGAACTGCGCCAGTATTAATTATTCGTTGAATTAGTGCCTCTCGATTATTCACTTTAACTTTGTAAACTTCTGTTTTAAACCAACCCCATAAACAAAAATCTAGTGGTGTTAGATCTGGACTTCTTGGAGGCCAACTAATTGGACCTCCGTGACTAATCCAACGCTCTGGAAACATTTCATCCAAATGTTGCTTGACCTCACGAGCGAAATGTGTACATTTGCCTTCTTACGTTTAAAGGGACATTCTCTAGTAATCCTGGCAACTCATTTATTAAAAAATTAAGGTAGTGTTCCCCTGTGAGGCGATTCTCCATGATAAAAGGGCCAATTAAATACCCAGCAATTAAAGCACACCACACATTTACAGAAAACCTGTGCTGAAAATTGGTTTCGACTATAGCATGGGGATATTCGTCAGACCATACGTGAGAGTTGTGCGTATTATCAATGCCGTCACGGGTAAATGTTGCTTTATCAGTAAAAAGTATACGCGATACAACTCTACGTTTGTTAGTTACCCACCGACAAAATTCCACACGTTTAGCATAATCTTCCGGGTTTATAAACTGTACTCTTTGTAAATGGTATGGGTAATACCCATTGGGTATAGGCCTTGCTCGTGAAGTGTGTTTATTACCCGTTTGTGAAATGTCCAATTGAGTAGCGATTCTTCTGGTGCTGGTCGTTGCATCTTCTTCCACTAGATCCAAAATATTTTCCACTTCTTCTAAAGTTAGTAGATTCGAAAAAAATCCTTGCTGTCACCTGTCAAAATGACAGTTTGATAATGGAATTGCGAGGTTAGAAGTAAAAATTCAAAATAAGTGTCAAAAAGATAAAAAACGCTAAGAAAAATACACAGATAAACATAGGTACGTACAATTTTTATTAAAGTTAAAGAAAACGTTGTAAATAAAATCATAGACAAATAAACAGTAAAATAGTAAAACATGCCCAATCGATAATTTTTATGACGTATTTTATCGTCATTGATATTTTATTTATAACTATACCACATAATAGGGTAGTTCTATAAATAGAAAAAACGTGCAATAATTAATAAAGTTATAGTCTATTAATATCAAATTTAATTTTTTCGAACTTTGCTATCTCCCAAACAAATTATAATAAAACACTTTGTTCTGATAGTTGGGAAAGCTTTAAATTCTTGGATAATAGTTTTAACGCGTGAAAAACTCAATTAAGTTAGTGAAGTTTACATTCCCCCCTCTCCGAAGTGTTTCCCCCCTTTAAGCCGCCCTTGTTGCCTGATACTGGTAGTCGCGTGTTCTAAAGGACAGGTAAAACATCAGTTGTTCGATTTTGCGAAATTTACGAAAGCAGTGAGATATTCTAGAAAGCTTTGTTTAAAATGACAGATTTTTGTGTATGGTGAGTTGATTTTTCGTTAATAATAAATTTGCTGACCTTGAGTAAAAAATTGATTATAATAAAGAAGTTAATTGTTTTAAGTTTTTGTTGCAAGATATTTTTATTGTTTGGGTTTTTATATTTATATTTATATCGATTTTACTAATATTAAAATGTCATTAAACTTAAAAAAAATTACGGTAATATTAACTTGATACGGGTACCTATTTGTTTTCTAATTTTCATATACAATTCCTTCAACTTTTGAATCGATACAATCATAGGAAAACCAT